ATCAACTCCAGCTTTTTTGATTCAAGGATTATTATATCCAGCCAAAAGAATCTCTATGAAAAGTTGCCGACCAACAAAAACCCCAAAAGAGAACCACATGGAACAAATCTGGTAAATAGTTTTGACTATTTTCATTGACCAAACTACCAATCATTCAATATATTCTCACATTTATGGATTTTCAGTTATTAGCACTTAGATTACTTAAAGTGGTAATAAGACTTGACTCCTTTTCCTTCTCCCTTGTAACACTTCGCCCGTAAATTCTGTCTTTTCTAAGCCACAATTGTATATCTTGTGTTTTTGTAAATTAAATATTTGTTTGTGATTTAGCTCTGTGTTTTGGTAAGTCATTTTTTTTTTCTTTGTTAAAATTTCCAACACATAACAAAACTAGAATTTTCCAAACATTCTATTTCTAATTTCTCTATTTTACAACTACTTCATGAATGAAAACTTTTTTGTATCAACAAGTAGGACTCAGTAGAATCCCTTATTATAGAAATGCATTCTCGTAACAAAATATATATATATATATATATATATATATATATATATATAGAGAGAGAGATTGTATTTAAGCATGGAACAAACTGTTGGCACTGGATGTTGACCTCAATGTTCACTTTTATATTTATATATGCTCTATACCTGATATTGAGCACTTTAACCCATAAATATAGCACACCTTAAAACTATATTTCTATCATATATATTTATTATACACACAAGTAAACCCCTCAGCTCTAATAATATAAAAAAAAAATTGTATAATCAGTTTATCACTTTCATACCCCATATCCTTTACATTTGTTACTGTCAAGTTTTTTCTTATTTTTTGTAATAAGAATATGAATTCTGTCTGCTGATTTTATTACTATACCACATCCCCAACAAAAGACTCTTTAAGCATAACAGTCCACTGTTTAACAGATGACAAGCTCCCCATATGTGTCAAGTGACATTTCTATTCTGTTCTCATATCTCTACTTTTTCTGCTTGTTCCTTATTTGTCATGTAACCACTGAAGGAATGATCTCTATAATATCCATCTCTTTAACATCTCTGTACTCAGCATGGCTAAATCTCATATATATTGTGTCTATTTTATATCAAGCATGTCATGCAGGAAGAAAGTAACTTTGCAAAAATAACTAGAGATCATCAGAATTTGCTTGGTAAACAAAAAAAAGTACTTGAATGATATACACATCTCAGTTCACTTAACAATGAAGTATTTATAAAATCACCTTCTTTGTTAATCAGATATTGTTTACCTGTAAGAATACTTGGGTAATTCTTGATGAGTTCTCAAATTTCTTTGGATAATGATTCAAAACAACTCGGATGTGGAGATGAAGGCAGTGAAAGTAATTGCTCTGGCTTGGTGAATTTTGATACATGTTACATTATTGAATGTGTATTATATTTCAGTCTATAGGTAAGCATTGGTAAGGCTAATGACTTTATTCTCTATTAGTTTAAAAGCTGCCCTATCAGGCAGCATTTAAGCTAGTTCCTGCAGAGGGCTCTTAATTGGGCTTTCGTCACAAGGGAGGAGTATGTGCGATAGGCAACAATAAACTACAGAACTCAAACTTGTTTGTTGTATTTAAGTGTTGCATTAATATTTAAGCTTACCTTTTAAAAGTTCAATGATAATTCTTCTGCCACCACCTAATTTAAAGACAATTTGATGTACATAGGTCCTTACTTTCTGTACAAACAATTATTTTTATTTCATGGTTGACTTTCACTGGATTTTGCAATTAATTTTGATTATCCCAAATTTATTTCCAAGTTAAAAAAAAAAAAAAAATTATAAAAAAATCATGTAAAAAAAACCAAAAAAAAAAACGCAGTACAAAAAACTTGGAAATCTGAAATTTCAGGATTGCAGTTCTGGATCCAGCTCAGAATAGTTTCAATTTGCTTATGGAGTCGGCCTGATTCCAAAATGGTATATGTTAAGCTACAGCCTCTAGGGGTAAAGTTGAAAAAGTGTGACACACTGACATTTGCATTTATTATATAGAAGTAAACATTGATCAGGTTTATACTCAATCCTAGAGGCAAACATTGGTCAGGTTTATACTTGCATCTGCAAGCATTCACCTGGAAGGTGTCAGCCCCTTTTGAGGAAGTGGCCTTACCTCACTGCAGGAGATGAAGTTGGTACATTCTAGATTCTGCTGTGAGCAGCTGATGAAATATTTGGCTGATTTTGACATTAGTTTTACATATAAAAACCGAAGATACTTAACTTTAAATTTAAAATGTTTAGCGTCTGTATCAGCTAGGTTAGAGGAACTGAACATCAAAGAATTTAGAAATTTAAATTTATAACTGAGTGTCTGTATCTTTAGCATCTTTTTATGTAAAATTGTAACCAGCATTTGTTGCATTTCCTTGCTCATATGTATGTGTGTTGAGATAATGAGACCATATGGAAAAACTTTTACAGACAACTCATTTCGCCTCCATCTGCTAGGTGTTTTCAAGTCGGAATGAGAGGCAAATCCTGTGTATAAAGAAAGTAATAAATGACCTTATCAGATAATACAGGTAGAAAATGTTTTTTTTTTTTTGTTTTTTTCAAATTGAACATATTAATACCGGCTGGATTTGATATGAGCCCGCTCTAAGTAGATCACTCTTTTTTACTCTATTAGTTAGTATACCGCATTGTGATACTATTGCTTTTGCGATGATTGGTGATATTGTGTATGAGCCCAATCTGAGGTTGACCATGAAGAATTATAAAAACAGTGCACTTTCAATGCATTTTCTCAGTGAATTCTTTTCTAATCATATTGGTATTTATTAGGTTGAAATTGTGGTGAGATGTGGTAGTTCATTGTAACACAGCTGGCCACAAATTTGTCTTATATATATATATATATATATATATATATATATATATATATATATATATATATGCACAAGCATTCTATTTTAAATACTTTTAAAAGAGCTTTTCAATACATAACTTTTCTATTTGAAAATCGTACTGTGTGAAACAGTCTGTTAATACTTAAATAATTAAAAGATGTTTATTTATATATATATATATATATATTATTAATTTAATTTTGGGTAAAATGATATTTGCCAGAACAGGCAATTTTAAGAGTACTCAATACTATTTTCATAGAATGAAAAAGTAAGGCAAATTAATATGTAAAATATCAGAAACCCTGACCTTGCAACCATGTTTCTGCCAGTAGGCTTTGCCAGGCAACAAGTCATGACTTGTTGTCTGACAAAGCCATCTCAACAGAAACTGTGGTTGCAAGGTCAGGGTTTCTGATATTTTATATATGAAATATTTATTAGTGTGTGTTTATAAGACCACATTGTCTTACACTATGCCAAGGTTATGATCTTGTATCTTAACAGTTGCTAAAATACAGATACAATACCAAATTTTTTATTTTAATAGTTGTTTTTATTCTATATTTGTTTATTTTTATGACATTGTAATTCTTAAAAAGTTAAAATAAAAGTATATTTTAAATTGCTTGGATGCCAAAACTGATGTGGGGGGGAGACAACTTGGGAACACCATGTTCTGTATCTACCCTCCAACAATCTGAAATATGACTGCTTTAAATGGTTGATAAGCTGTAAAAAAAAAAAAATCAATCTTGATTAATTTGATTTAAATCTTATTGGTGATGAAGATGAGATTCAATATGTTGTTAGTCTCTTAAAATGTAAACTTGTGCTGAATTTGCTTCAGTCTTGAATTATTTTCCTGTAACACAGATTATAATAACCAGAGTGTCATGTTGTTAGTGGCATGGATTGCAAATATGGCAATAACCAGTGATTCTGAAATGAGAAGCATTTGGCCTCCAGAAGAGGAATTGCAGCTGTTAGGATATGTATAATGGTAACAAAAATTACTCGGGGCAAGAGAGACTAATGTGACCTGGGTCTCTGAAATCCATGACTGTAGTTAAATCTTGAGTTTGTTTATTTTTTAAAAATTAAAGTTAAAGAAATTTTCGGCCTACCTTTTACACACACACAGAGGAATGCTAAAAAAGGAAAGTTATGAGCTCAACCCACTTCCCAAACTCAGTATTTCAATGACTTTTGGAACAGGGTTAAAGAGTAAAGAGATTGGTGAAACAATGTGCCAGATTTATTGAACTGTCAGGTGAATTTGTGGAATGAGCCATGTATGTTTCATGACTATTGGCCATTGCTGCCTTGGATGGGCTGAGAACTTTTCAACAGCTATTTTCATATGATTTTGAATAGGTATCTTCACTTTTTTGCTAAATAAAACAGTATAGTATAATGAAAAAAGGCCCTTAACTTAATAAAAACAATGTTTTTATATTGTCAAAATGTTTATTAAGAAGAAAGACCAAAGTTTTTTTTTTCTGCTACTTTATTAAATTTTTTTAATCCTTTCAAAATTTTGGTTAAAAATTTATTTTATTTTTTTAATTTTTTTTTGTTAGTGGTCAACATAATAATTTACAGATAAAGTTTCAGAAAAGTGTATTTTACGTTTGGAAGGTTATTAAAAAGTAAAATATACTAATGGAGAATTACATTGCAATGAAAGACAACTAAAAAAAAGGCGCTAATCAGCTATTTTAGAAAAAAATTTAAAATTTTAATTCTAATCAATATAATTTGTTTGAAATACATCAGAGTATTTTGTTTGTTTACTGGAAATAGTAAATTTAATTCTTTAGCCTTCAATTACATCTAAAATGAAAGTTTTTTTGTTTTTTTTTTTTTCATTTATAAAAATTCATTTTAAACCAACGTATCAAATTATTCAGGTACCTAATTTTGAATTGTGTCAAAAAGTCAAAGATCTTGCATAGATTTTCTTTTTTTCTCTCTTTAGAAAGTTACATTTGTAATGTTGCAAATCTCTTGACTTTCCCCTGTTTCCTTTCAATGTTGCAACAATGTGTGCTTTTCTTGGAATTATGTGGCTATCAAATGTCATTTTCATTCTCTTTTCTTTACAGCCGCTGATCCTTCAATGCCCTCAACAAACAAGGATGTTGAAAAAAGCAAGCTGAAGTTGGCTGACTACATCAGTGGGTATCATATGTACTCTGTGCTAGTTTTCTAAGTAATTTTTGTCAAATAGGTTGATAGGTTTCCTAATAAACTGAACCCAAATATTAATTTGGAGACAACTTACTACAACTGGGTATGGTACTGTACCTGCTACCCTCACAAAAACTATGACAGTTAATAAATTACTTTCTTGATAAAAATAAAAAAATTATCGCTAAACTCCCACTTAGACTTATTTATTTATCGATCTAGCCATTGGATCAATGTGGTTTCTTTGGCAGAATCAATCAATCCTTCTCAGATGTTTTTTCCCCTGGTACTCTAACATAAAATGAAACATTTCTAAATTTAACTCTGTAAATCATTCTTCACCTTCTTTGGTTTTCATAGAATTGGTTTGTCAACCATCTTGTCACAAGACTGGGATGAGTATATGAGGCCCCAAGAGGAGTATTTTAAAAGGAACTAAGGTTCAGTTGCTCTCAATAAGCTGAATCTTTTTTCTCCCCTTGATATTAAATGACTGGATCATTTCCAGACAGGCCTCATATGTAGAACATTTAAATATATCTTTTTATTGTTTATTGGCCATACAGAAGTATTAAGAGAGAGAGAGAAACAAAGGTAGATAATAATTTAATTTGGTAAATGTTATCAGTTGTCATAGTGTTAGATAATGCTCCAGTAGTGCAACAAAACAATTTTCACCTACTTATTATACACCTACTATGTATTGAATCAAATTATGATTAGATTAAAAGAAGACTTGTTTCTGAACAAAGAATATTTATTACTGTATTATATTAGGTTGTTACATAAATTCATTCATTTTTTTCTAATTTATTTTTACTTGTTATTTATTAATAGTTCTGATTCAACATTGTATTCCTCTTAATTGCTTATGATCTCCTGCCAATGATCCACTGTTTAACGCCTTAACTATAGAAATCACTAGGTTTTGACTCGTAAAGTTTGTCAAGCTAAGTTTTAAGCTCCACATTATTATTAAATGGAACACCCCTCAAATTGTTAGAAAGTGATCAAAGAAGTTGGTAGTCTGAAGGGATTGAATCAGGAGAATATGGTGGGTATAGCAGAACTTCCCAACCAATGGTGTCAAACAAGTAAACTGGCAGCAATGGAAGAGCACTAGAGTTTTTCTTTTGGTCAATGCATGCAGCACCCATTCGCCATATTTCTGAATCTTACCTATTGAATGATGATGATAAACCACAGTAACACAAGAGCTTGCCATCTTCTGAGCCAATTCCATTGCAATCTGGCATGGTTCTTTAATCAGCATCAAACTGAACAGGTTGGCCAGAATGCAGAGAGTCTGTGAGTTTGAACTTCCACTCCTTGAAATGAGAAAACCATTTCTATGACATTCACTTAGTAAATGAAATCATCTCTGTACACAGCACAAATGTCATGAGTGGCTTTGGCAGCTAAAAAGCTTGATCATTGATTAAGATAAAGAACTTGATTAAGAGCAAAAAGATGATGTTGAACATGCTCATTTCTACCTAACTTAGCATTCCTTTTCAATGCAGTGTCTAATCTGAAATAAAGTTTCAGTAACGGTTTCATAGGATGACGAGTTATGAAGAAGCAAAAAATGCTACTAAAAATTATTCTTTGAGATCATTCACAGAACATCAGAAAAAAAATAATGAATATATGTAACGGCCTAATAGAGAGCAATTCACTAGCTAGGTTCTTAATATAGTGAGTTCATTGCACACTAGGTACTTTTGTCCACATCTTTTTTAAAAATATATCAAATCCTATGGATTTTTTGATGGGTTAAATTAAATTAGAAAATAGATGCTAGCAATAATACTAAAGAAATTTCTTCCAATCTGAAAGTCACATTTTGGTAAAGATTATTACCAAGACTCTTAAAACTAAAATTTCTGCTAACCCTGTCTTCAGTTTCTTCTGTCCATCTTGGGTCCTCTAGAAAGCTGATTATGGCAACTATGGATGCTTTTGAAAGAAGCCCAAAGTTAATATTTATATGGAGACCCATTTAGATTAACTGTGAGTCAGTAGAAAATTTCAAGAATCTCAAAATAGACAAATTCAACATTTTTCTTCATTTACACAACATCAAGACGGAAATGGTTTATTGTGTCAATAAACCCTCTCCAAATAATAATAGAAACAAAATGAGAACAAGATAAGAAAACAAAATAAAACTGTAATAGCATTTAGTTACCAGTTCATTATCGGAGCCATGAGTTTTTTGTGGTGTAGTCTTGTTTATTGAACTGGGATATTGTGTTGATGATAGATATATGATAGGTTTTCGTGGAGGTATTATTGTTAGTGTATGATGTTTTGTTTTTACAGGAGATACTGTAGTGATAATATTGTGTTGTATGCAGCATATGCTTTGTTATAAGTCTCTCAGAGAGGAAAAGAAATGTATGATAGGTGGTAATGGGGATATTATTTTCACTGCATGTGGATCTTTTTTTTTTTTTTTTTTTTTTTTTTTTTGGTGTCGGGTGTGGGGATAGTACAATAATAGTATTGTGTTGTATGTAATGTGACACATGGTTCATTGAGCACTAAGATGTACTCTGAGAGGCTAAGGAGACACATCTTGTCATTTTGGCATCCTGAGGTTGGAGGGAGAGTGTGTTAATGACATTTCCTTTTATTTACTGTTTTATATAATGCCACCTTGGGGTATTAAATGACCCCTGTTAGCCAACAAGGTGGTGTAATCTCACATTCTTAAATGTTTGGGGCCCTTTTTCTTTGGTTCCTTATTTATTTTATTTATTTTTTGTACAGCTAAAGTTCTGTCTGAGCTTGGACTAAACCTGACCAACAAGGCAGAAACATATAGTGATCCAACGATGAAGCAGATCTTCCTTCTCAATAACTGCAATTATATAATCAAATCACTTAAAGGGTAAGTTTTCCGTTTTTATTTTTTCAAAACATATCTTTAATGTATCTTAACTTTTCTTCAGATAATTAGAAATATATTTGTATTTTTTCTCATATGATCATCAAAGTTAAGCAACATCGAGCCTGGCCAATACACATGGGTAACCTCTTGGGGATGTCAGGTGCTGTAAGCTTGATGTGCAGGTGGTGTAATGGATAATGGGTTGGAATTGTTAATCAGAGAGCCGAGTTTTAATTCCCATTAGGTTTGTTATATTCATTTAGGTGCAAAATACCCTTGGAAAAGGTATGAATCCACTTTCTCCCTCAGCTGATAATAAGTAAATCTTTTATCACTAAAACATTTTTTATTTGAGTTTTTTCAACTCTGCTGATGTTCATTATATATATGCAATCAGCACATGTAGAAAGCACTTTTTTTCTGTAATAAATTATGTAATAAAAGAAACACCAGAAAAATAAAGCAATTATCAACAACAAATGAATTATCTTCATTGAAAATGTTTTGATGAAAAATAGTTTACTTCATTAGAGCTGAAATAAGTGAACTGCTAAAACATTTTTCTGCTTTAAAAAAAAAACAAACCAATAAATTATATATTTTCTGGTCCATTGAAGATTTTTACCTATCATGTAATAAGGACATAAATGTCAGAATGGGAAAAGCTTGGATAGCACAACCAAAGATACCAATCAAGTCTACTTCCTGAAACCAACTTTGAATTCTTCAGAGCAACATTTGAAATAGTTGTTCTGTATGGCTGCAGTTCATGGAGCCATACAGAACGACTGAAGGCAATGAGGAAGAAACTTGATGGAGGGTGGGTGTTATTACCAAGATGCTGAAAATGGTAACATTTGACTAAATCAAATTCTCTCTGGTAACTTACCAAAGCTGACAACTCTAATTGTTGAGAGGAGAATAAGATTCAATGGCCCTTGCTGGAGAAGCTAGATGGAAAGCATTCAAAGTCTTCTTACTTTAGGAACTTATGCAAAGGGAATAGTCTTGTAGGATCCCTGCATGTATCTTTTTTTATTGACCAGTTGATTGAAGACAACATCTTATTAAAGGAGCAACTGCAAACCACAGTGGAAGACCATAATGTATGGAGAGGACTGGTCATGGTGGTCTGACTGTGGTCAATTCATTTCTTTAATTCAACTGTAATAAAATGGATCAATAGCCAATGATTTTCAAGTCACTTGTTAAAAGGGTCACAATTACTATTATATATAGGATTAATACAAATAAAATTTGTAACTTAGCTGATTGATGCTATATTCAGCACCTTGACTCTGGAGACCTTTTTTGATCAATCCACTTGTCAAGAGGCTTCAGCAATTCATAAATTTTATACACACACACACACACACACACACACATATTTCAGGATATTACAACAAAAACATGTAAGGATCACTACTCAATTGCAGTTGTGTTTCAACACATAATGATGTGTCTCCTCAGATGATTGGAAATTACTGGTGAGTGAATGATTAATTTAGTTTTAAAAACAAAATGCATCCTCATTTTTGGAGAGAAAAAATTATAAAATAAAAAATAAAGGTTTGAGGGCTTTACCCTGAACAACCAATTGAATGTGACCTATGTTAAATTGAAACTAAGGGAAAAAGAAAATTTGAAAATTATTATCTTTACAAATATGTCAAGGCAAAGATCAGACATTAACTCAAAGACTGATACAAATGGCTACAATAGATGTACACATGTCAGTCAACTCTCTTAAGAAATCTTTTATTTCTTAAGAGAGTTGATTGTCTCATGTGTACATTTATGTAGCCATTTGTATCGGTCTTTGAGTTAATGGCCGGCTCCTGTTAGATGTCAAATCTTTACCTTGACACATTTATAAGATAATTTCTAATTTTCTTTTTGGCTTAGTTTGAATTTAATATAGGTCATCTTCAATTGGTTGATCAGGGTAAAGCCCTCAAACCTTTATTTTTTTTATTTTATAATTTTTTTTTTTAAAATGATTTTGCTTTTGAAACTAAATTAATCGTTCACTTACTAGTAATTTACAATCACCTGAGGAGATGCATTGTTATGTGTTGAAACAACTGCAATTGTGTAATGATCCCTATGCTCTTGTTGTAATATCGTAAAATAATTAATATTTATCTACTATGTATTGAGCCCTCTTTTAAATTAAATGTTATGAATGTTGGAAGTGTACTCTATTTATTCTCATCATACTTGGATATATATATATATATATATATATATATATATATATATGTGCGCACACACACACCTTTTTAAGATATGAATTACTTAATTATCTGGTGTTGACATATTTTGAATACAGTTTTTTTTGTGTTTTGTCTATACAAATGGCCATTTTAATTTTGGAAGCGACAGATGATGATTGGTAGCGACACCTGCTGCAAACAAATGTATTTTTCAATATATTTTAAGTAAAAGATAAGTAATATTTTGTTGAAAGCCAGTAAAGGGATTTTTAATGTCATGGGATCAATGGTGTATTGTTTATTTAGAATTATTAAATTGCAATTAGACATGAAATGCACATTCATGTGACCAGCAGCTGAACGTCCGTAAAAGTTTGGTCAAAATGTGCTCTGAGCTCATCACTAGAAAATGTGCTGTTCTCTTTCATGCTAACACAAAGCACATACAGCATTAATAATACCAGTAAAAAATTTTGGAACTTGGTTGGTCTGTTCTACCCCCACCCATCATATTCACATGACCTTGCACGAACAGATTATCTTTTTCGATCACTGTAAAACACTTTGATGGGGAAAGCTTTCTCTAATGAAACCATATTCAAGAATTTATTGTAAACCTTTTCATATCAAAACCTACAGAATTTTACTAAAAAGAATGGCTACAAGTCACTGCAAATAATGGTGAATATATAATTGAATCAGATGTAATGTACTTTATTTTTACAAGAATAAAGTTGATGAACAAAAAGAGATTATTTATGACTCAAACTAATAAAATCCTTAAAAACCATAGTTATGTCCTTGGGTACTGATAACATAAATTAATTTTTTAATTAGTGGTTGAATTAATTTGATATTAACTTCAAAAACTTTTGTTTTACAAATTGTTTTTTATTTATTTATTTTTTATTTTTGTTCAGGTCTGGGCTTCTGGATTTCATCCATTTATGGAACAAAGATGTTAAAGCTTATTATGATGAAAAAATTACTGATCACAAAAAAAATTATTCACAAAGGTATCCCAAAAGTTTTTCTAATGTTTTTACTTGCAACAATGTTTACCAGATTTATTCAATGCTGGATGTGTTTGTAAATTTAAAGTTTCTTCTTGTAACAGTTTTCAGAAATGTTTTTTTTTTGACATCCTCTGCTTGATATAGAGTCATTTCCTATTCATAGAATTTGGATTTTAATTCAAACTTATAATTCACAGATCCTAATTATCACTAAGTTTTATTATTAACAAAGAATGAAAGAGCAGCATGCCAACAAAGTGATGCTGAGGTATGAATATACAAAACCCAATATACCCTTTATAACACCCAGTCTTCTAAGGGTATATTGGGCACATTATCATTATTATTAAGAGTAACACACCAACAAAATGACGTTGGGATACAAATATATGACACCTAGTCTGATATGGGTATACTGTACACATGCGTCTAAACCAGATTTGTGCAATTTGGTAACAAGTTTTTGCAGCGCATAATCTTGCAGTAGGGAGAAGTTGGAAATTCATACAGATCAAGTGAACCAGTCTGCTTAGATGGTCTCCAAGTTTTCCCAAGTATCTACATGTGACACCCAAAACACCTTGCCTGCCTCATCTGTTAAACTTTGTTTTAAAAAAAAAAAATCAACCCACTCTTAGAGAAAGAGGGTTGTTGTTGCAACTTCTGTTTAATTCTCATGCTTAAGCCGAGATCAAATGTAAAGTTTGACTTTTTTTCAATCTATGCAACATATTTGGTCAGTAGTTCAAACAGGATCAATATCTAATTTATAGACTTAAAACCAAAGTAGCTCTTTTATTAACTGAAGGTTCATATAAGGTCATAGAAAGCTAATGAAAATATTTTAATCTCTACCCTGCCAATTATTTTGGGAAAAACATTTCATTTCAGACAGTTTTTTTTATTTGTTTTTAATATAGTAACTAAGAAACTGAGGCACCTTGAAGTACCTGAGCAGTGGCTGACATCTCTACCAGGCATATGAGTTGACAATTAGACTCATTTCAAGCTCAGAACGACATAAAAAGAATCAAGGTTAACGTTTAAACACATATAGCTGATTTTTGAATGTTATGTTTTGGATGTGTTTATTCGTCTGTCTGAAAAAGACACTTGATAAAAATGTATATACATGTTTACGCCAAGGAAGAGGTTAAGGATTTGAATATTCTATGAATTTAAGATTTTGTATTTCGATCATAACATTATTAATGGTGCACTTGCACCATATATATATATATATATATATATATATATATATATATATATATATATATATATATATATATATATATATAGCTTTGTTCCATCATTAAGACTTGCATTATTTTTAACACGCTGCATAAAGACTAAATGCTGAAACTTGCTGCGTTTATTATAGCTATAGTTTTCATTCTGGTAGTATTGTGTGGATAAAATAATTTGCTCACTCCTCAAATTCTTTACTGACTTGTCTATTATTTTTGGTGTACCAGTGACAAGAACATGATGTTGGGTTTTTCTCTTTTTTTTTTTTTTTTTTTTTTCTCTTTTTTTTCTCTTTTTTTCTTTTTTTTTTTTTTTTTTCTTTTTTCACTTTTTTTCTCTTTTTTTTCTTTTTTTTTTTTTTTTTTTTTTTTTCTCTTTTTTTTTTTTTTTTCTTTTTCTCTTTTTCTCTTTTTTTCTTTTTCTCTTTTTTTCTTTTTCTCTTTTTCCTCTTTTCTTCTTTTTTTCCTCTTTTCTTCTTTTTTTCCTCTTTTCTTCTTTTTTTCCTCTTCTTTTCCTTTCTTTTTAAAGGGATTACTGTATATACTTGTGTATCATGCAATCTTTGAAAACCTAATTTTGAAGCTAATTTGACAGTAAATGGATATGTGGTTTGGTCAACAGTGTAGCCAAGGCCAGTACTACATATGCTAATTTTATATCTTATGTATGATAAAATCCACTTAAAATTACCTTCAAAATTAGGTCTTTACAAGTTGCATGATACACAAGTATATACTGTAGTACAAAATTGACATATAACTGTTTAGTAACTTATTTTTGTTCAAAATAAATATTAATCTTTATTTTGGAATGGAAATAATTTCCCAATCTCATCTGATTCCACTTATTTATTATTCTATTATATTAGTTGCATCCAAAAGTTCCCAACATTCCTTTTTAAAAAAAACTTGGGATTGACAAACCAGTTCATTTCTAGAAGCTTTGTACTCACCTAATAGAATGCTTTATTTGTTCCTTGAGCATAAAAGGGTATGATTAGTCTGTTACATTCCCTTTTGCACAAATAATTTGGGAAAAGCATAAATCTGTCCCTTCTCCTCCCAGCTATGGGTTAAATAGTCATCTTAGGTGGTGCAACCATTTTAAGAGAAAACAAATGAATTCCAAATCATGAAGAAGGTACTCTATTTTTCCCAAGAAAGCTTGGCAATTCACAGATAATAAAGAATACAAATTTGTGGAGTTATAATTGCCTATATCCTGAAGTGATCTGGCATTATTTAAAAACAAAAAAATCAGTTTTAAAAGAAAATGCCTTTTTTGTAATGAGCATACATTATTTTATTTTTTTTAATGAGTCTGTTTGTAGAATTTTTGAAAATTTCGTTTGTAAGCCATTCTGATTAGAAATAAAGAAGAAGAAAAAAAAAACCTCCACCACTTTTTCCTTCAGAAATCTTAGCACAACATCTGCATTAAGGTCCTAGGGGATTATTCTTTATTTCTGGTTATTATTACTTACTAATGCCTGTGGAATGATGCTAAAAAGTAGCTGAAATTAAAATGAAAATAATACTAGTCAAAAAAAATTAATAATTATCAATTCTTTATCAATGAAGATGAAAAGTAATATTACTTCTAATACTACGGACCCGATTTTTCTTTGTAACTATTTTTGCATTATAGAACCATTATGTTTTCATATGCCTATTCTGTTTATTTAAGCACACATGGACACACAACAAGGTGCTGAAAAATTCTCAGGAAATCTGACCAACTGAACAAACATCAGAATTTGTGTTGGAATCCATTCTTGATCAGGTCAAGAAGTTTTCAGCACCCTCTCATATTCGAGTGTGTAATATATGTTTCTGTTAATTCTTGCAGTTGGAGCCGTGTTCTCCATTATATCTTGGAGGTTCACAAACCAATTTCTGTGCAGAGGGCTCAGAATCCAGATTTAGCTAAGGTAAGGAATCTCACATTTAACTTTGATACCACCTCTTAATTGCTATTGTTTCCCAGTCCACACTGACCCAGGGTGGTAGCACCTGTTAGGGTCCCAGCTATGGGCAAATAGTGAACTCTTAAACTGGGATCAGAAGACTATGAAAGTATAAAATACATTTTTATAGATTTTCATAGTAAAAAAAAAAAAAATTATCAATGCTCTCAAAAAAATTAAATTTCAGCATTAAATTACCCATAAGGAGTTGATATGCAGTTTAACCAAATCAAATGGAATTAACACTGCACAAAAATGATCAAATTGTGTAATTTGCCAGGTTTCTGATTTACATCTTCGTGGTAGGAATGTTAAAAATTACTGCTCACTTTGTTTTCATTATTGATGAGAGTTCTTGCTTTATTTGGATTTAGAATGGTGAGAAAGGGAGAGGTTTAACAAGAGACGAGGTTTGCTTATTTCAAATTGTCTGACTGCTTCCAACCAGAAGGAATGCTAAATGAGCAAGACCAAAATAGAATTTTGCTCTTTAGATGCTTACTAATTGCTTTGATTTATTCTCTGGCCAAAGTTGTATAGTTTCACTCAGTTACGTTACTGAATGTGAGAGATGTGACCTTTGATGATACAACCATGACTTTGGACAAACACTGTTGCTGGAAATATTACATTCTTTCGATTTCTTTTTGTTTTGTTTTTACTTATGTAAGCAGTGAATGAAAATATCAAGATTGGGTTGGAGGATTTTATAACATTAACACTTGTTGGATTATTTAAAGTTAAAATCTTTTTTATTTCACTTCACTGTCCAGGTAAACATTGTTTTGGGTTGTATTTGAATAGCTAGGTAAATGTTGGTCAGGTTTTTACTTAAATATCCGGGAAAAGGTTAGTCAAGTTTTTTTACTTGAGTCTCCAGGTAAATATTGGTCAGGTTTGTTCTTGAATCTTTCAGTAAACATTGGTTGGGGGTTGTACTTTAATCTCTAGGTAAACATGGTTGGATTTATACTTAAAGCTCCAGATAAAGGTTGGTTGAGTCTGTACTTGAATCTCCAGGTAAGCATTGATTTGTTTTATACTTAAATCCCCAGGTAAACATTGGTCAAGTTTGTTTTTGATTCTGCAATTATCTACCTAGAAAGTGGCTTCTCTTTTGTGGGGTATGGAATGTTATTGTGTATTCAAGACCCCCACCCCACCCCCAGCAGGGCATTAAAATAGCAAGATTTCTCTCTTTGATATCGGTTTTGATTTAGTTACAAATTATTTTTTCTCACCTTTTTATTTTTTTTTTTCGTTCTGTTTGTAATTCATTGAAAGTTCTCTTTCCTTTCATTGTTGTAGATATAAACTAAGTTGTCATATTTGTTTTTTCTTTTTTCAGTTGAAAGATAAAGAAAGGCAAAATATCAAAGATAAATTTACAGTAAGTGTGAAATAATTTTTATTCTGAACTTACATTTCCAGGAAGAATTAATTCACATCAATTGTTGACAGTTTCTCCATTTTTATCTATTATGTTTTTGATAAGTAAAATAAAATAATCTATCCAGTTCTTTCATATGTACAATAATTGACCTTTTATATGAGGGGATGCTCTGAAAGTAATGACTCCTGTTTATTTCTATAGAAACTACAACAGATACAGGGAACACATTAACATTATTGGAGAGAGCAAATTTTCAGCTACCAAACACCATTTTTTCTCACAGTCAACATCATAAACTATGCATTTTCAAGGTGCAGTTGTTTGGTTGGTTGCTGAGCATGGCTACTCCTGGAACATGGCTTGTTATGCATATTTCTGTTGCCACTGCTGAAATGCATGCTAACTCTGCTCAAATTCACTGTTTGGTTTCCATAATTGGATGATCCAATGTTCTTTTGGAAAAATTCTGCATTAGACATGAAGAATATACTTTCTTTGTTATTGTGAATGCAGTGACCACACAGTACACACACTCTCTTAATGGCATCTTACTACTGAGTAACCTGATGGGAGAGTATCTGTTTACACATGTGCAGTAAAGTCCTCTCTGATAGGTGGTCATGTTACATCAAGCACATTCTCAATATCAATATGGCTCTCTATATATTTGCTCTAATTTCTTTTCTTATAAAGGACCTTGTTCAGAAAATTCTATTCAGTTAATGTTTTTATTAATAAGGTTTCTTGTTACATTTCTTTGTCTCTAATTACATTTCTCTACTTTTAATTGCATTTTTAAAATTTTTATTCTGTTCTACAAAATTTTTTAACAGCATCCAAGAAAAAAATTTTCAGTGCTTCTGCAGAAGAACACCACTCCCATACATTCAATTTATTCATATTGGTACATTAACATATTTGTAGCACTAATTTTATTTTAATACTATTGTTCACTCAATACAAAGTCAAGAGCTACTCATGATAGAGGGTTATTGAATAAGGTTGTTGCAAGGGCACAAAAAGAGGAAATAAAGAGTGTATATTGTGGGGATATGTAAGATAAATAACTGTTGACCCTAGACTTGAAGAGGTTAAGATCATTATAATCAGGGAAGCATCCTCTTGGGTGTCTGTTCCAGTAAAACTTTCGGAATTTCCACCTTACCAATAGAATACTAGGGGAATGAGGATGATTCAACCCTGTGTAGGTGTCATGGCAGGTCAGTGCCAAAAAGATCTGAACTGGTCGAACTAAGAAATGTAGCTCCTCTGAAAATAGCCATAGGGTAGTGAAATGCTGGCACCATTTCACTTGCAGGTAGTTGCAGGTTGAAAAATAATTCATTACCTTCAAGGCTATATAAATGTTTTTGGACTCTGTCAAAGTTGGAAAGTGAGGATTGGGCAGCTCCACCCCAGATATGGTGGCAACAATACTCCATTTTTGGTCTGATTTGATTCTTATAAAGACAGAGCGTGCCAGCAGGAGTCTGGTACTTTCTAGAGTGGTGCAAGGAACCAACCAATTTTTCAACATCTTTAATGATGTATCAATATGCGGGTTCCACTTGAGGTCTGATGTGAGCTTTAGTCCCAATAGACATTCCAGGCAAGAAGCCTCTTTGAGAGTACAACTGTTTATCAGGACTGGAGTTAATTTAGAGTTTGGTGGTGAGGAAGCATTACTAGCTTTGTTTTGGGGGTATTGAATGATACAAGCCAGTATTTAGCCATTTTCAGCTCCTCATGAATTCAAAAAATTTCTTTTGCTTTCCTTTCCTTTTTTTTTTCTTAATCATTTCACCCCCAAACAAGGCAATAAAGCCTCTAAGACACAAAGGGGATACTGAATGTGAAAGAATATGAGAAAAAGAAAACATTAAGAAGAGAGAACAATAAAAGAACATCAGCAAACATTAGACATTAAGAAAAGAAAGAACCTTTCAAAAATGATAATTAGAATCTTTTTTTCTTTAATCCTTTTACCCTAGGCAAGGCAATAAAGCCACTAAGATGCAAGTGGTTACTGAGTGAAAGAATATGAGAAAAAGAAAAACATTAAGGAGAGAGAACAATAAAAGAACAGGAACTAAGAAGACAGATGATAACAATTGACAAGGCATTTAAATTTTTGAAGAGCAAAATTGACTGGAAAGTGATTCAGAAGAGAGTTTAACAAGTGGAAAGTATGAGAGAAGAAACTGTTAGCATAAAACTTATGATTACATCTAGCAATTTCAACTGTAAAATGAAGAGACCTTGCTGCCAATCTAGTAATACACTTTACATAAAATGTACTGAATTGTTGACAAAATTCTCTTACATTTTTCCTGGTTCTTTTCTTTAAATATCTGCAATTATTCAAACCCTCTTATTTGTTGAATAACATTGTTAAAAATTAATTATAATCGAGAGGTGTTACTCTGCAGAAACACCAAATTTTTTTCAAGGTATGTTTTCTTCAATTTTACTTTAATAAGATTGTTTTTGTTGTTTGGTGTTTAGGGCTTCAACAAAGAACTTGAAGAAATTTACCGAATCCAGAAGAGCTATGCCATCCCGGACCCCGATCTGAGACAATCCCTCAAGCAAGAAAACAAAAATTACATTCTGCCCATGTACCAAATGTTTCACGACAAGTACACCCGGTTAAATTTTACTAAAAACCCAGACAAATATATAAAATATAGCGTGGAAGATGTTGGGCGGATGATTGACAAGTTTTTTGATGCCTCTGCTTAGTCAAATATTCAATTGAGCCATGAGACTTTTTTTTTTTTTTTTAATCTTTGCTGTTCTTGTTTCAGAAAGAAACTGAAATTGAAGAGAGAAAGAAAGAGAAAGAGAGAAGGAAGAACAATAAAAATAAAGGTTTGCAATAAATTCAAATCTGTATAAAAATCAAATGTGATATAAAAATGTAATCTTTATGTACATACAAAGATAGAGACTTTTGAACGCTACTGAAGGAAAATGATCCTCTTGTAAAGAAAAAAAAAATAGGTTAATTTTTAAAAAATCAGGGATCAATTTGACACTATTTATATTATAACTGACCCCGCTTTCCAGAATTTACAAAAAAAAATTTCAATTCTGACAGATGTCATGGATAGGGGAAGGTCTAATGAATGCTAATTAATGAAAATTAATACAAAAAAAAATTTCCTTTTTTTTTTTATGAGCAGACCATTTTTCCACACTAGTGCCAACTTTTGTTCCATTAAAATTAGTGAAGTTACAAAATATATTAATCTTTGCAAAAGGAAACTTAAAAAAGCTAAAAATTATTTCCAAATATTTATTCACCCTCCCCATTCCCATTTTTCTTTTGTTTTTATCAAGGCACCTAAACTGCTATAGCCTCTTGTTGATTTCAGATAGATCATTTTCTGTTGATGTCAACACAATTGTAAAATTCAAGCATGCTGTCATTCTATGATCAGTCAACACCATTGGCAGAACAAACATTTTCTTCTGCAAATGAAGTTTCATGCAGAGAGCCAAAGGTTAAAACACAATGGCCAATATATTCCAAAATTTCCCATCTTTTAATTTTTTGTACTCTTTTAAGGTTGGTTTTTATACAAGAGGAATTAACATTGAATTAGGAATTGATACTAGAAAAAAAAAACTCAAAGAGAGAGAAAAGAATTACATGTCTTGAAATAATCAAAACCTATAAACAAAATATTACCTCATGCTTTTTAAAAAACTTAGAAAAGATGAATTAAAGAAGAATTAATTTCTAAGTTTCCAAAATATGTACTAGGCAATTGGACTTGTTTGCTGACTGAGAGGAATTTTCACCCCAGTACCAATGGTCAGGGTTCAAACCCAGGTAAAAGCCAGGATTCTGAATGCTGATTTTCAAGGCAGGCAGAATATCCTTACTTGGAAGCTTGGTGCAGTTCAATTTTCTGTCTTTCCACATTATATAAGATTCTCTACCCCACCCCTTACATACACATACAAAATGCTCAAAAAATATCTCCTGGGTGAGATATGATGTTTACCCAGATACAGTAGACTACCAGTACTCTAGCATATTTAAATAGGGTGTGTCTTATATCCCATCAAATAGTCTGTGTGTGTATGATTTAAATTTACATGAATGGGTCCTCATGAATTCAGTGGAATGGTAAATATATAAGGAAGTTCAGGAAACTTATTTTGTCATGTTAAAATGCCATTTTATTATAAAAATGACGATAAGTTACTCAGCTGAAGATATATTGAACATACCATGATCTATGAATGCTCTGTGGTTTAATATACACCCAGGCTTCGTCAGCATATTACCTGTCTTTACTAAACAGGTATCGAAATAATATGGGATACAAAAAATATTAAAACAATCGAATAAATAAATATCTGTCTATATTTCTGAAATGAGGTATTGTAATTATTTATATCGCTCAGATTGTTGTCATCTTTATTGCCATATTCACAACGTTTTGTCTGTTGTACACTCCAAACTCCTTCAGGGGATGCATGTTGGAATTTTGAATTGAATTCTTTATTTATTCCATGTGGGTTAGATTGTTCTGATTCCACATGCCATGCCTTTTTTTTTTCTTTTCTTTCTTGATATCACAGTTTTAGTTAATTTCCTTTAGTAACTCTCTAAGTTTTTGTTTCCTCAACCGGCATTGAACTCCCAACTCTTTGGGTCAAGTCACTTTTTGGATTACTCAGCCAACAGTTTTATCCACTAGACCATGTGTCCTTGTGGAATAAATAATGTGTTTGGTTCAAAATTCCAACATTACTTGCTTCTCTGATAACTACAATCTTCAAAAATTTAAATACAATGTCATTTGCCATCTTTTATGCTTTCCTCACTCCCCCTTAAACCCAGTTTTTTTTTGTTTTTTTTTTCTCAATTCCAATTTCTGTAACCCCCTATGTACTAATTGCATTCCCGCTTTGCTTGGGGTGAAATGATTAAAAGAAAAAAATATATATCACCTGAATAAGGCCAAAAGCATACAACAGCTGAAAAGTTGTAAATATGGCAATAAAGATGAAGGCAACAATCTGAATTATGTAAATAGCGTAAAATAAATATATTCTTGAAAAAATAATGTTGAAAGTAATATCTAATTGAAAAAGTGATGCAGTTAAAGCAAAACAATAAAATGACAGCATTCATATGATTAATGTGAATCTTCTGTTTTTCATGTGTAGGTTTGGTCAGAAATAAAATCCTTTTTTTCCAATGATGCTGTTTAATAAGCAAAGCATGTCAAAATAAGTTTTGCACATTGCCTTACAAACATTTGCTCATGGTTGGACTATAAAAGGCCTGAGGAAATGCATTGAGTTGACAGAACCTCACACTCTGAGAGGAGTTGTAGATGATGGATAGCACACAAGGCAATATCCAATCCACTTTGACTGGGTCACTGTGGAGAAGGTGTATGATGTTGTAAGACCCGAAACCCCTAATGATCCTCGGCTAATAACATCACTGCTGATGTATGCCAGAGCATTGAACTGATGTACTTCACAAAAATATTTAATATGTATATGTGTATATACAATGTACTCATACTTATGATATACTAGTTACTCTGGCAGTACACTATCTGTAAGTTAAATGAAGAACCATTCATAGTAGATATGTAAAAGTTACCATCTTAGTTTCTGGTTGACTCTACATCTGGATGGTTAAGCAACTGGGTCAAATATTCGAGGTCTATTTCCAGTTTCCTTTAATATTTGTTCTATGAAAAGACAAAAAGAACTTCCCTAAATTTGGATTGTAGGTTTTCGATATGTCATCAAGACCACAGAAACTGTGACTTATGTTGACTATAGGGGTTACAGCTTTTTGCTGCTACTGCCAAGATGGTAAGGTTGTTATGGTAGAGTGGTTTGCCTAAGCATCCACTCAGTCACTCTCTTCTCTATCAAATATGATGACATGCCAATAGAACAGAGTGCAAGGAGAAGTGGTTTCATGCCTTTCCCAAGATAATTAATTTGAGGTGAACATGTGAAGCTTAAGCTGAACTTGGGTTGCCAGTTCTGTTTTTTATACTGCTTTCTGTTATTAGACGGCACACCTCTAATTTTTACCGTACTTGGAACTTTTTTTTCAGTATTAGCAGTACTACTATGTGTGTGCAAAAGGTTCCAGCATAAAAGCTGTTTTCTATGTATTCAGTTATTGTTAAAAAAAAAAAAATGCTGGGAACTTTTGCACATACCTAATATTTTGAGGATGATGTGAATAAACAGTGAAATATTAATAAACTCAACCTCCATTCTTGTTTTTTAATCAAATACCAATTACCTACAAACATATTGAGGAATTTCTATGTTGTCTTGTTGAACCACTAAAGACTTGGATTAAAAACAAAAATCTCTTAAAGACAAGGTAGTGATTATTACCTTACTTATCTACACAATCTTTAGTACCATTTTTGCTTCCAGTTTCTCTATTGCACTAGAAAATGTCTTTTCCAGGACCAAGTTTCAATCTCGGTAAAGGTAGCTTCTTTTCTTCACTTCCAGATATTTCCTTTTTAAAGACAAAGGATACTTTTTAAAAAATTTAGCTTGGCTAAATGAAGTGAGGCATAAAGATAAACAAAAACATTATGAAAATAATTTTCGTATTTTTTGTTCTTTTTTTTTTTTTTTATAAATTGCTGTTGAGAATTTGACAGAATACT